TTTTCTCTGACGCACTAACTCTGCAGCAGCACTTCTTCTTCGTCTCGTCTGATGCGGTCACTCAACCAAGCGTTCTAACCACAACCCTCGCCCCTCCCCACCCCCCAAATCCAAACGAGCCGTTCGTTGTAGTTCTTGAAAAGGGATTTAAAAAAAACGAAATATCTCCCTTTGGAGTGGACTTTGAGATTTGTAACTTTCTAGATCTTTTTAATGCCCAAACATACACATTACACACTGACTAAAATTAAAAAAGTGAAAAAGCATAATAGGACCCCTTTAATACGTTTATTAGTAAACATTAACAAGCACATTATTTCACATTTCTAGATATGTGAATATATATTAACTAATGATCCATTAAGCATTATATAATGTTTGTTAATGATTTATTAATGAAAGTTATTATAAAGTGTTACCTTCTCGTGTCTGTCTGTGGAGTATTTGCTGAGTTTCAGTTCATTTTATTGACGTGTTTCTAAATGAAGATCACGGAGACCAAGGTGGCAGACAGTGCACCCTGTTTGTTTTCTTTATTTTACAAAAGCACAAAGTTTTGTTGTTATTATGAATGTATACAAATAAAAGTAGACCCTTTACAGATTCGATTGATGTTTTGCTCTTATCTGTATTATCAAAAATGACGGAGTAATTGAACTTCCTTTAGGGGTTATCAGAAAAAAATGCCACAAAACGCGCCGGATGGTTAGAAAGGTACTAGTAGTTAAACAATAAGGACTAGTAGCTAAAGAATAAACACTAGTAGCTAATGATTAAGTACTAGTACTTAATGGAAAAGATACTAGTATCTAAAAATAAGTACTAGTAGCATGAAAATGGATACTAGTATGGCTTATAGATTCAATGTTAAAACGGCTTGCCATAATAAAATTAAACAAGCTTGCATCACATGCTCTGAATTGTCTTTTGGGTTAGACGCAAAACAACCTCTATTTCACTTACATGTTTTCCTCTTTATCACTCCAAAGCATTTGCATTTATATATAGGCTAGAAAACAAGTTCCCTAAACCAAACAAAACATAGGTAATTTTGTTTATATCAACGTAATGTTCATGATTGCTCAACAGAATTGTTCTTTGTTGGCTTTTATTACCATGTATCATATCAAATCATTTTGAAATGTAACACCCTCATGCCATCTGTAAATAATCTTCACTTAAACAAGAACAATGAGATGTGGAGTTCACAAGAGGGGTGGGATCCAGTAATACTGAAAGTACAGAGGCCATTTTTATGAAGTTGCTGTAAACCATTTTGCAGTGCCAGTTTGCTTTCTGTACTATGATCACAAAACCACGATTAGGTGCAAATTTTTAACCTCTTTGGACCAACAACTGAGACAGATTGCCAGTCGGTAAGGTGATTCTTCTTACCATATGTAGCAATGCTGTGATAGAGTTTGTAATACAGTTTCTGTGTTACTTTAAATTTTACTTCTTTGTCTGTCCTGACTGCTGTATAATCAAAATTTCAGATTTTTTACCCCACTTTTGGAAAGTCTTGTAAAATTAATAGTTGGAGAAAATGGTTGTGCAAACATTTTATTTTTTACAATCTCCCATAACCCCAACCTGCTAGTTTAATGCAAGAATCATGCATGTTCCAAATCCAGAAATTTAAAAAGGTTCCATAGGATGCATAAAAACTTTTTTATTAGTCAGTACCGTAACAAAAACTCTGATATGTGTCAGCATAAATAGGGCTGAAACTTAGGGGCTAAATAACAGTTGTAACAGATTTTGCTGATTGAATGTTTGAAGAGCTTGTAACAACTGCACCTAAAAGAATATCAATATATTTCTGGTGTTTTCCAGTGATGTCACGCAATCGTGATCTTCGTCTTCTGCTGATCGGTAAAACAGGTTCAGGAGTGAGCACTTCTGGAAACACTATTCTGGGAGCAAATGTGTTTCCAACCGGGCACAGCCTGAACTCGATCACTGACAGATGTGAACAACATACAGCTGAAGTGTCAAACAGAAGAGTTACAGTATTTGACACTCCAAACTTCTTTAATTCAAATGACATTGATCTGAGTGTGGAGTTGAAGAGAGAAATGATGATGTGTTCTTTAGGAATCCACGTGCTCATTCTGGTTCTTCGTTTAGATACCCAACAACATGCAGATATCATGCCCTTATATAAGCAGATGTTTGGCAAGAATGCAGTGAAACACACATTTGTCCTCTTCACACATGGAGATGAGTTTCAAAATAAATCAATTGAACAACTAATAAAAGAAAATGCAGAGTTGTCCAAACTAACAGAGGAGTTTCGAGGGAGATTTCAGTTGCTGGACAACAAAGATCTGAATAACAGAGATCAGGTCACAAAACTCCTGATGAAGATTGAACAAATGGTGTCTGACAATGAGAACAGCTGCTACACTTTACAAATGTTTGAAGCTCAGTCGCTCAAAGTGATTCTGAAGCTGAAATATCTGTATGCTGTCAGTGTTGTTGTGTTTGCATTGGGTTGTGTGAATATGGAGAGTGAAAGTTACTGGGATTTAAAAGCATTTCTACATGGTTGTGTTGGTGGGGTCTTGGCAGCAGCAGTAGGTGGTGCAGCAGGACACGTTTGGGCAAAGATATGGGAAAATCAGAGCTGGAGGATCCAGAAATGTACAAAAAAACATCTGAAATTTGTCAAACTGCTGGGAGTCGTGTGTGGTTGTGCTGCTGGGATGATCAGTTGGTATTTTGTGGGTTCAATAGAATCATCAGCTGCATTACTGAGAGTGATAAAGGGGGGGCTTGTGGCTTACATTGTTACCAGATACCATTTCAGATAGTTCCCATTTCTGTAATGAATACTCTTTCATTCTTTCTGTTTACATTTTTAGTTCTGATCTGATATATTTAATCACAAAAATCTCTTTGAGCTCTTTGTTGAGTTGTCATAATGTTTCCTGAATTGATGATTTCTTTAATTATTAGTTAAGAGTTTTGGGTAACATAGGGTGGAGGATACCCATATGTTTTCTCCTGTTTAATGGTTAGTTAGGGAGTGAGGGAAGTTATATGTTGTTTTGTTTATTTTCATTTATGTATAGTTAAGTTAATATTTATTTCCCTTTTAGGTAGAGGTATTTTTGGGTTTTCTTTTGGTTTGGTCCCTCCTCCTGAGGTAATATTTCATTGTATTTTCTGTTTTCATATCATTGTTATTTTCCTCCTTTGAACCCCTGATTGAGTTAAAATAAAAGGCACTTCAGCCATTTAAAAAATGAAATCTGTGCTTGATTGTGATTTTTGGGCCTGGAGAGCTGGAGATCCTCAAAGTCTCTCCACTGTTTATTGTTCGTCATTCCCGATTTATCCCTAGACTGAAAGGGGAGGACGTAACATTAGAAAATCTCAAAGATCTATCAAAAGAGATATAAAATAAAGATAGAATAAGAAGAAAAGTTAAAACAAATTGGTTCAGAGTAATACATTTTAAGATAGCATTGGTTTTGCAGTGGCTTTGGTAACTGTTTACAGTACACATATATTTGGCAATGCTTTTTGGCAAATTTTGTTGTTTTCACTCATATTTTATAATTTAATAGTTTAAAATGTTTTGAAATTATTTTGAAGTGTTCAGTTAACAATTATTAAAATAAACAGATGAATTAATGAAGATTTATTTGGGCAAGATACAAGTGTGTATGTGTTTTACCTCAGCGAGGTTTCAAAGGTACTTTATACATTTTTTTACAATTATTTTTATTATTATTATAATTTTTAAAAAAATCCAAATGCAGTTTTCTATATTCTTTAAATATACAGTAGTAATGTAGTACATACAAATCATAGGTTTATTAGTTTATAGTTAATTAATAGTTTTTATATTGTAGCCTCTACATTGTCAATATATTAATAGGCTATATACAAATAGTGAGCTTGTCTCATTGATTATTTGTCACTAATTAACAAATTATTGTTTAATTAGCGCATATGTTAGATAATGATTTTGATAACAACTAATTAACTGTAAATAATTCTCACTTCAGAAAGAAAAACAGAAAATGTAATTTAAGTGCTTTAAGCAAACCTTTATTGGACATTTACTGCATTAGTATTAAGTGTTCCTTAAAATGATTACAAATACATTAATCAAACACACACACACACACAAAAAGATTGTGTTGCAGAGGTCTCAAGTCGCAAAACTTCACAATAAAGTCGGTGCACACAAAACAAGCAGAAGGCATGTCCTGGTAAAGGTTAAGTCACAAGATTAAACAAAAAGGCACAGTTTTTTCCCCTCAGAAATAATGAACATCCTGAATTACACTCTTAATAGTAAACAATTATTGGTAAACAAATAATTATTAGAATTCTGAACTATTATGATAATCATAACGTTTATATTTACATTTATTAATTTGGCAGACGGTTTTATCCAAATCGACTTACAGTTGACGAAAACAACAAGTGATTTATCATAAGATGGCAATAAAGACGAGAAGTGCCCCTTATATAAGGTTTAAATCATTGTTCAAAATACTAAAAGCTAGGACAACTACCTTACTAACTATTAATAAGCAGCAAATTAAAAGTGTATTGTGTTCTAGCCTATATACAAATGCAAATGCTTTGCAGTGAAAAAGAGGAAAACATTCATTCATTCATTACATTTTTTTGCATCTATCCCAAAAAACAATTCAGAGCATGTGATGTACTGGAAGAAGACAACAATCAGCTTGTTTAATTTTATACTTGCAGTACCAGTCAGGCAGACTGTCAAACTAATTTATGAATAGAAGGTGCGGTTTTCTCACTTTACACAAACACAGTTACCACACCTCAAGACATTGTTCAGATGATATATTTCAAGGCATTCATCCGGTTTCTGTCGTTAAAACATTCTTGTGAGTAGGATTACTTTCTTATGCATCTCATCCAAACGCCTCCGTTGCTAATTCCAAAACGTCATTTGAGACCGAGTAAAGAAGTGCAGTAATGAGAGAGAGAAAAGAGGGATTACACACACACACACACACAAACAGATGTTGGGTTTCCATGTTTTATGGGGACATTCCATAGGCGTTATGGTTTTTATACTGTACAAACTCTTATCTACACCAACCCTACACCTAAACTTACCCTTCACAGAAAACTTTCTGCATTTTTTGATTTTCAAAAAACTTCATTTTGCATGATTTATATGCTTGTTTCCTTATGGGACCAAACAATGTCCCCACAAGGACAAGGATTTCAGATATTGCCATCTTTGGGGGGGACATTTTGTTGGGTTTCCGTGTTTTATGGGGACTTTTCATAGAAAGAATGGAGTCCACGGTTTCTGGTTTACCTATTTGTTAAGACCTTGTCATGTTTTATTCTGCATTGCCATGTTGCAGAGGTCTCAAGTCACAAAATTTCACAATAAAGTCGGTGCACACAAAACAAGCAGAAGGCATGTCCTTGTAAAGGTCAAGTCACATGATTAAGCACAAAGGCGCAGTTTTTTTCCCCTCAGAAATAATGAACCTCCTGAATTACACTCTTAATAGTAAACAATTATTGGAATATAATTATCAGAATTCTGAACTATTATGATAATTATAACATTTATATTCACATTTACTCATTTGTCAGACACTTTTATCCAAATCGACTTACAGTTGACGAAAACAACAAGCAATTTATCATAAGATGGCAATAAAGACGAGAAGTGCCCCTTATAAAAGGTTTTAATCATTGTTTATAATAGTAAAAGCTAAGACAGGAAGGAATAAATCAACCATATAGTGTTAGTTCTGGCAGGTCACTTGAGTCAAGCTTGCATCCCCTGACTCTCAGCCTGTCCACATCTACCTATTGGAATATGATGCTTATTACTGCATTCCTATATAAGGTCTATTCAGTTTTATTCAGCAGTTTTATCGCTTTGCTCAGAAGCAAATTACCCTTCTTCATCCCCAACTCCTCCTTTCAATCAGGACTTGGCTTTCTGATATTCCTCGTTGAATCAGACTCCTTTTATCTTGGATAATGTTGTTACACTAAAAATAAAATTACACTATCATTAAGAACATTAATGATATCTGCATTTAGTTATGTTCTATTTACCATAAGGGGGTTATTGCTGCTCTCTTTGCTCATTCATGACAGGCTGCGTGGATGGGCAGGGAGTTTTTTGCCCAGAACAGAACCATACCGCTAATCCAAACTGTATGCTAAGTGTCAATCATTTTGATGATAGTGATCCTGGCAGAAAAGAAAAAGTGAAGACATAGCAATATTTTTTTTTCTTTTTTTAGTAACACTTTATATTATAGGGACCAATTCTCGCTATTAACCAGTGGCGTTCCGTCCATATAAGCTGCGAATGCTCCGCATACCCAGGCCAATTGAGAGAATAAGTTCACTGGATAATTAATATAAACATGATTAGAAGTTGATCCCTTGTCATTTGAAATGTAACTTAAAGCTTAAAAAGTTAAGAATAAGTACGTAAAACGATTTATTTGCCAAACGGCAGTAATTTTCTCAAAATCTACATCAGTTACGGAAGCTTCCGGGCGAGCGGATTCTCCGCAGCTTTCTCGTCTCAGCTCTATTGCTATGACTCGTCAGGATTGTAGCGCATTGGTTTACTGGCCTGCGGCTGATTTCATGCGTGAGGTAAGCTGTCCGCGAAGCGCTCGCCCGAGCAGAAAAATGCGCTGTTGCTGTCTAATCGGTTACTAACGTAACCTCGGTTCCCTGAGATACGGAATGAGTACTGCATCTGCTAAGACACTATGAAAAAACTCCTTTTTCTTCGATGACTGAAGCCTTTAAATAACGCAGTGTAACTGCACGGCCATTGGTTCGTGCAGTGAATAAAAAACGAATGGCGACTATGGCGACAAAGCCCACCAGAATGGGCGGGGCCATCTGGATATATAATCGGGCATTCGCCGTAGGATCCTCAGGTTACTTCGACTGAAGCGACGACTGAGTCGTGCAGCTACATAGCACGGCAAAGTACGCAGTACTCTTTCCATATCTCAGGGAACCAAGGTTACGTTAGTAACCGAGTACGTTCCCTATCGATATTTCACTCGTACTGCGTCTGCTAAGACGCTTTGGGGAACCAGTACAATCCCACCATGCTATGCTAGAGGAACAACTAATACTTGAACTTGCCTTAAGCACTCAAGGGGCCCCAGAGGGACCAAGTACTTTGCAGGGAAGCCCCGCAGGGGGCAGTAGGGCCAAACTCACAGAGGTCGGCCCAGCCTTATATAATCGTCCCAACATAATTTAGTACAGCCTCGGAACTCAGTGAGGGCCAAGAGCGTAC